TGGGGCCCATCAGGATGGCTCTTGACTTTAGAGTCAGAAGTAGGATCAGTCTTGTATTATTTGGGGAAGAGAGAAAAGAAATCAAGGGCTATGCTCCTAAAGCATGCCTGTTCATATTTAAGGCTGTGACAGGGAAGTATGAACATGTCATCCCAGAACTCAAGAGACTGAGGCAGGAGAATCACAAGTTTGAGGTCAGCCTGGACTACATGATGAGATGCTGTCTGTCTCAAAGGATAAAAAAAACCTAAGGAAAAAGAGAGTGTCTGTCTTAGTGAATGTTGTTGTGAAGAGACACCATGACCACAGCAACTCTTACAAAGGAAAAAAACTTAATTGGGACTGGCTTACAGTTTAGAGCCTTAATCCATTATTATACAAGGGAACACGGCATCGTGCAGGCAGATATGGTGCTGAAGAGGTAGCTGAGAGCTCTGAATCCCAATCAGCAGAAAAAGAAGGAAATGTTGGGCCTGGCCTGAACATTTGAAACCCCAAAGCCCACCTCATGACACACTTCCTTCAACTAGACCACACCTCCTAATCCCTAAGGCCAAGCATTCAAATCTATGAGCCTGTGGGGGCCATGCCTGCTCAAACCACCTTAGTGCTTTAAGGTAACCAGAGAGAAGAGGCGGTCTCTAAACTCTAAAGCAGAAGAGGGTAAATGGAATGAGAAGAAATCCACTTCCCAGGAGAGGGGGGAAGGATAGGTGCAAACATCCAATAGCATTCTAGGAGTGATCCCTGTGAGTTCATGGTTACAGTAAATCAACTCAGCTAAGCGTTCCACAAAAGGCAGGGACTTCAGGGTGGGGTGGCACCGAGTTCCTACAGTGATTGCCTAGCATGCATGAAACCTTGAGTCCAATGCCAGCCTGTGTAAACCAGCTGTGGTGGCACTCTTAGAATCCCAGACTTGGGAGGTGGGAACCGGAGGATCAGTAGTTTAAGGTCTTTCTTGACTACATAGTAAGTCTGATGACCTTAACTAAAATTCACAATCCTGCCTCCTTGGACTCACGGCAACCCTCCTGCCTCTACCTCCCAGGTGCTGGGATAGCAGGCATCACTGGAGGCTTCACTCTCTGGCATTGTCACTCATGCTGAAAGATCAGGCAGTCACAGCACACCTGGGTCTGCACTGGTAACTTTTCTCATTGTTATCTCAGAGGAGCTGACCAATGAAACTTAAGGGAAGAAGGCTCATTCTGGCTCACGGTTCTAGGTGGTGCTGCCCAGAATGTCAACAAAGGCGCAGTGGCAGCAGTGTTACCTGGTCACATTGCATCCAGTCCACAGGTGCTCAGCTCACCTTCTCCTTTTCATTCAATCCAGAACCCCCAGTCCATAGGCCGGTGCCCCCACATTCAGGGTGGGTCTTCCACGTCCATGAACCCAATCTAGAAGCCCCCTCACAGGTGTGCCCGAGTCTTGTCTTGTTAAAATGACTATGACCCATCACAGGGCCTTGCTCTCCCTGGTCCATTCACCCTCAGACCTGGCTCGGTGACCAAGGCATTGCACTGAATGCCATGAGTACAGACCTCATTGCCATGATCTTTACACAAGGTTCACCATCCAGACAGGGTCACAGCATGTCAAACCAGTGGCAGTCAATATGGGGAGCTGGTAAAATCTCTTAGTGATGAGTGGAACCATCTGGGGTAGGTGACCAGGCAGATACCAAATGGCTTTCCTGGAAGTTCCAGAAAGCATCTCAGGAAGGGGCCAAGAATCCAGACAGGGTGTGACTAGTCAAGGGGATCTGTGTGTGTCCCCAATGTGGGTGGAGCACAGGAGAGGGGGGCAGAGAGGAGTGTGTGTGTCACTGAAGTCACTGAAGTCAGAACTCCACCTTGGATAATTCTGGCCACTAATTTGAAGGGAAGGTGTTGGGGAGAAGCAGAGGAGGAAACACAGAACAGTATTGATCATGATCTGCTGAGTCAAAAATTCAGATCCAAGTATTCCTGTGGGATTGCAGTCACTGTTTCATCTGACCACCACCGAACATAGACTCTCACATATGATAGGCAAGTGCTCTACAGTGGTGGAGTGGAGCCACACCCCAGCCCCTCACTGGGGGATTCTAGGCAAGAGCCCTACCCTAAGCCACACCCCAGCCCCTCACTGGGGGATTCTAGACAAGAGCCCTACCCTAAGCCACACCCCAGCCCCTCACTGGGGGATTCTAGATAGGGACTCTACTACTCAGGCATGCTCCCATCCCCTCTCTGGGGGGGTCCAGCCCCTCACTGGATTAAACATACATTATTAGGTCCAAGTTTCATTATTTCCCGGTCTCTGGACCAGGAACACCCAGACGTGGGCTTTACTTATCTCCCAACATCACTCAGTCCAATCAACCTGACAGGATTAAGCATCAGTTGGGATTGGTGACTCCAGCATACACCTGTATTCCCAGCTACACTGGAGACCAAAACAGGAGGTGTGGCTCCAAGTCAAGGCCAGCCTGAGCTACAAAGCCTCAAAAAACTTGAAAGTTTAAAGTTTAATCATCTACAATTGTGTACATGTGGAAAAGGAGCTTGAGGCTGGGGAGATGCCTGCACACTAAAGAACACTTGCTGCCCTTGCAGAGGACCTGGGTTCAGTTCCCAGCATCTAGCTCCAAGGGACCTGATGCCCTCTTCTGGCCTCTCTGGGTACCACACACATGTGCACATACACACATGTAGGCAAACACTCCTACACACAAAATAATTTTCAAAGAAGGAAGGAGGGGATGAATGGATGTGTGTCGTATGGCTAACATGGCTGAACTCTGTTTTCCAGACTTTCCTTTCCTTGTTATTTTTCCTTAAAAGGTATACAGGTGACTCCCATCAATAGGCTTGTGAATGCTTGTTCTGTTTATAATTCTCACTTGGCGCCAGCCAGGCCTGGTCCAAGGAACCAGGTAGCGTACTTTGAGGAGCCTCTTCCCTCCACAGCCCCTCTCTGGTCCTCTCACTTGAAATCTCAGTTCAGGCTCCAGCCACTTACTCTACCACAGTGAGTGGGAGTCCCTGAGTTATCTCATTGCATAGCCCAGAGTGGCCTCAACTCACAATAATCCTCCTGCCTCAGACTCCTGAGTGCTGGGATTAAGTGCATGCATGAGTCACCGTGGACGCTCTCTCACCCCTTTCATCTCTCCGTGAGTCAGCCAAGAGCCTCTGCGCTGCCCTCGTGAGATGTGGTTGAGGCTCAGCGGCAGAGCCACTTAACACAAGTGAGGAGCTGGGGGCGTGGCTCTGTGGCCAGATGAGAGTGGGCGTCCCAGACAGGAGTCCTAAGAGGAGACGGTTTCAGACTCATCCTGCTGCAGAGGAAGCGCTGCTCTCCTAAACCCAGAGCCGAGGTTCTGTGGGTGACACACAGCCCATGGGGGGTTGCAGCCAGGACATCCTCCAGAGCAGGCAACCCTGATCTGGGCAAGGAAGAGCTGACCATGAGCAGAAGCAGGCTAACGCCTAGGGGCTGAGGGGACAGGCTTGGAGGCACGAGGGAGCTGGCAGCTCTGGGGAGCTTTTTAAATAAAGAGGTAGCAGAGGGAGGAGGAAGGCGATGGTGATGGAAGATGAATGTCTTGAAGCCAGGGCTGTGGCTCTTTGGGGATCCTGGGCGAGGACGCAGTTGGGAGAGTGCCTGCCTAGCATGCAGAAAGCCCAGGCTTCCAGCCCCAGCACTGCATAAACCACACGTTGGTGAATGCCTGTAATCGCTAGGCCAGGTAAGCGGAGGCAGGAGGATTTGAAATTCAAGTTATCAGCCAGCCTGGGCTACATAAGACCCTGCCTCAAAATTTTTTAAAAATTTGTTTGGGGTGGGGGCTGGAAAGGCAGTTCAGAGGTTAAGAGCACGGGCTGCTCTTCCAGAGGTCCTGAGTTCAATTCCCAGCAACCACATGGAGGCTCACAACCGTCTGTAATGAGATCTGGTGCCCTCTTCTGACCTGCAGGCATACATCACTGTATACATAATAAATAAATGTTTAAAAACTTTTTGTTTGGGACATCACTGTCCCTGCCATCTAGGTCTTCGCTTGCATGGGGTAGAATATTGTAGCACGCTGTGAGTAGGAAAGCGATGGTTCTGTGAGTCTAGACACCCTTGCAGGGGATGGGGGGGATAGGAGATGGGGGTTGGGCTTCAGGGCTGATGTCCTTGAGCTACCTCCTGCAGGTGGCGCTCCCATGAAGACTTTGGGTCAGTAGGCCATGGGAACAATAGTGAGAATCCTGAGGTAAAGAGAAGCCAGTGTCAAGGGACTCCAACATCCTGAGGCATGTGCATGGCCTCTTGTCAGCTGTCTCTGCCACCCTCGCTTCTTGAGGGAGTTGACCCTGGGCAATGGTCAGGTGACAGGTCCCATACCCAGGAAGGCAGGGCTGGGAGGAGGAGTGTGCTGTCCATTACCTCCGCAGTCTCAATTTCTGTATGTGTCCATAAAAACAGACAAGAGGGAGGCAGGTCCACCCGGCTCAGCACCCAGCAAGCCGTGTGGTGAGCCGCCTCTCTTCCTCTCAGAGCCGGAGTAATTATAGGACTGTTGAAGGGTGAATGACAGGTGTGTGTGGAAAACATCACGGGACACAGAAGGAGCGTGAGAAAGTCGGGCATGGAGGCACAGGCCTGTCTTCCCAGGAAGTCAGAAGCCTGAAGTGCCAGGATGAAAAGTTTAAGGCCAGTTTGGGAACTTGGTAAGGCCTGTCTCCAAATAAAACGTGAAAAGGCAGCTGGGGGTGAAGGCTAAGGGTGGAGCAGCAGCCTAGAATGCCCCGGTGAGGGGTGGGGGTGTGCTCCAGGGTAGACCACCCACTTAAGAGTCCTCCAGTGAGGGGTCTCCCATGGCATAGTCACAGAGCTCCCGCCCAGCATCTTGGACATCAGGGTCTTGTCCTCAGCACCCCATGCTGATCACCGGGTCTCGTTCTCCGCTGCGAACTGGAGAGCCCAGGCTTGTCAGATGCACTGACACTGTCTCCCCGCAGGTGATCCGCACGGACACGTTCAAGCACCTCCGGCACCTGGAGATCCTGCAGCTGAGCAAGAACCTGGTGCGCAAGATCGAGGTGGGCGCGTTCAATGGGCTGCCCAGCCTCAACACACTGGAGCTCTTTGACAACCGGCTCACCACGGTGCCCACACAGGCCTTTGAGTACCTGTCCAAGCTCCGGGAGCTGTGGCTGCGCAACAACCCCATCGAAAGCATCCCATCCTATGCCTTCAACCGTGTGCCCTCACTGCGCCGCCTGGACCTGGGCGAGCTCAAGCGGCTGGAGTACATATCGGAGGCGGCCTTCGAGGGGCTGGTGAACCTGCGCTACCTCAATCTGGGCATGTGCAACCTAAAGGACATCCCCAACCTCACAGCGCTTGTGCGCCTGGAGGAGCTGGAACTGTCAGGGAACCGGCTGGACCTAATTCGCCCGGGCTCCTTCCAGGGCCTCACCAGCCTGCGCAAGCTGTGGCTGATGCACGCCCAAGTGGCCACCATCGAGCGAAATGCCTTTGACGACCTCAAGTCGCTGGAAGAGCTGAACCTGTCCCACAACAACCTGATGTCGCTGCCACACGACCTCTTCACGCCCCTGCACCGCCTGGAGCGCGTCCACCTCAACCACAACCCCTGGCACTGCAACTGCGACGTGCTGTGGCTCAGCTGGTGGCTAAAGGAGACGGTGCCCAGCAACACCACGTGCTGTGCACGCTGCCACGCGCCAGCCGGCCTCAAGGGCCGCTACATCGGCGAGCTGGACCAGTCACACTTCACCTGCTACGCCCCCGGTCATCGTGGAGCCACCCACAGACCTCAATGTCACCGAGGGTATGGCTGCTGAGCTCAAGTGCCGCACCGGCACATCCATGACCTCCGTCAACTGGCTGACACCTAACGGCACACTCATGACGCATGGTTCCTACCGTGTGCGCATCTCGGTCCTGCACGACGGCACGCTCAACTTCACCAACGTCACCGTGCAGGACACGGGCCAGTACACGTGCATGGTGACAAACTCGGCCGGCAACACCACTGCCTCGGCCACGCTTAATGTGTCAGCTGTGGACCCTGTGGCCGCAGGGGGGGTAGGGGGCGGGGGCCCCGGGGGTGGGGGCGGTGCAGGGGGCGCGGGCGGCTACACCTACTTTACCACGGTGACCGTGGAGACACTGGAGACGCAGCCGGGTGAGGAGGCTCAGCAGCCCCGGGGTACTGAAAAGGAGCCCCCCGGGGCCCACGACCGATGGCGCGTGGGGCGGCGGCCGGCCTGATTCCGCAGCCCCGGCCTCGGCGTCCACCACGGCGCCGGCCCCGCGCTCCTCGCGGCCCACGGAGAAGGCGTTCACGGTGCCCATCACGGACGTAACAGAGAACGCGCTTAAGGACCTAGACGACGTCATGAAGACCACCAAAATAATCATCGGCTGCTTCGTGGCCATCACCTTCATGGCCGCTGTGATGCTGGTGGCCTTCTACAAGCTGCGCAAACAGCACCAGCTGCACAAGCACCACGGGCCCACGCGCACTGTGGAGATCATCAACGTGGAGGACGAGCTCCCCGCCGCCTCCGCCGTGTCGGTGGCCGCGGCCACCGCGGTGGCCGGAGGCGCGGGCGTGGGCGGGGACAGTCATCTGGCCCTTCCCGCGCTGGAGCGAGACCACCTCAACCACCACCACTACGTGGCGGCCGCCTTCAAGGCACACTACAGCGGCAACCCAGGGGGCGGGTGCGGGGCCAAAGGCCCCGGCCTCAACTCCATCCATGAACCTCTGCTCTTCAAGAGCGGCTCCAAGGAGAACGTGCAAGAGACACAAATCTAAACCCGGGCCGGCAGGGACGCAGGACGCCTGCCCGGGATGCTCCTGCTTGCTGCGCAGCCCGGCGGCGCTGGCGGTCCTGCACCAGGAAAGGACCTGGAGATCAGGAGAGGGGGCCCCGCCCTCCGTCCTCTGCCCACCAGCCCTGCCCGCCACCTTCAGGGGACAGGAGCTTCTTCTAGGAGTGCTCTTTCCCCCATCCCAACCCTCCTTTTATGGCTCTTTCTTTTTTCTTTCTTTTTTTGCAGTTTGACGCCTGTCCTTCCCTCTTACTCCTCCACTCTCAAAACACAAGAGACAGACAACTTCACCAGAGCCCAAGGGGCAACTCCGACAGTGTCCCCAACAGGGAGCTCTACTCGCGGCCCTGGCCGGCCCCACCCGCCCCACAGACTCTTTTGATACTGAAGGGAGGTTTGCGTCAATCACTACCTGCTCTGTAATTACTTTAAAAAAAAAACATGGAAAAAGTAAAAAAAAAAATTTGGTCATGAAAGTATTGAAGACAAACAGAGCACAAAGTCACTGTGGGTGGGGCCAGGGGAGAAGGGACAGCCAGCGGCGCTGTCCTCTCAGGAGGGGGAGTGGACACCCCAGAGTTACAGCTCTAGGACACCATTCGAGAGGAACACGCTCATCCAGCACACAGCAGTACTGTCCATCTTCCTGGCTGCCCTTCCAGAAATGTGCTGGAAGCTTGGCCTCTCCCCTTCTCCCATGCGTCTGTCTCCATTGACATCTCCGCTCTTTCCTTTCTGACTCTGGTGCCTGCCTGCACCACACACACACACACAGAGACACTCACACACACAGACACTCTCACACACAGACACTCTCACACACACACACACACACAGACACACAGACACTCTCACACACACACAGACACACACACAGACACTCACACACAGACACTCACACATACAGACACACACAGACACACAGACACTCTCACACACACACAGACACACACACACAGAACTCTCACACACAGACACTCACACACACACAGACACACACAGACACTCTCACACACAGACACTCATACACACACAGACACTCACACACACAGACACTCACACACACAGACACTCTCACACACACAGACACTCTCACACACAGACACTCACACACACACTCACACACACAGACACACACAGATACTCACACACACAGACACTCACAGACACCCACACACAGACACTCACACTCACACACACAGACACAGACACTCACACACAGACACTCTCACACACACAGACACACACACACAGACACAGACACACACACAGACACTCTCACACACACAGACACTCACACACACACAGCACATAGACACACACAGACACTCACACACACAGACACTCATACACACACACTCACACAGATACTCACACACACAGACACTCACACACACACTCATACACACACAGACACCCACACACACACACAGCACATAGACACACACAGACACTCACACACACATACAGATACTCACACAGCTCATACACACGCACACTCACACACAGACACTCACACACACACACACTCATACACACAGACACTCACACACACAGACACACACACAGACACACAGCTCATAGACACTCACACACAGCACACAACCCAGAGGGGAGCTTGGGCTACAAAGTTCCACAGTGTCTTGGAACAGCAGAACTGTGGGATATTGGTCTTCTGAGGGTTGTAAATCCAAGGTCACAGTGCTGGGTCTCTCTGAAGCCTGGGCAGGAAAGCTCTGTCCCAGCCTCTCCAGGCTGCTGGGGTATCCCTGTGGGCCGCCTCAGAGTAGAGCTGCCATCATGCTGTTTTAGGGGCTTGTACAGCAGCAGAGCCTCTCCTAGAGTGACCATCTGCAGACACAGTTGTCCAGGAAGGCCACAATTGACCATCTGAAGGTCAGGGTAGCCACAGAACTTTCTGGGTGACACTACTGAGCAAATGGTTGTGTCCCACAGGGAGTCTTCTCCATTTCACGCACATCCCTAGCTCGTCAGGAGAGCGTTTGTACGAGGGAGGTCATACAAAGCAAACAGGCCTGGGTCACATGACCACGTGCCGGGCATTGTAAACAGGCCAGGGCACGTGGAGGTGCGCAATCGCCGGCGAGGCCGGGGCTGGGTGGTGCTGGATGGGATATTAGTGGCATCGCAGAGTGGGCTGTGCCCAAGGTTCAGCCTCAGAGAACTAAGGTTGCCTAGGGAGTCAGAGAGGCAGCCAGGGGCAGGCATACCGCACATGGGCACTTCACCCATCCATAGATCTGGACCCCGTGTGGGCACTGGAGGCCCCAGGGTACACACCTTCGCCAGAGAGGGGAGAGCAGGAAGCCCTCCCCCGACTCCTCGCACTCTGTCTTCTCCCTGTCTCCCCGCCTCTTCCTGATCTGCACCTTCCCCTCACCCCACCCGGCGCTAAGTGGCTTCCTGTGACCACTGTCGGCGGGGCGGGCGTCAAGCCCCATCTCCCTCCCTGTCCAGCCACCCTGTGTTGAGACGGGGACAGGGCTGTTGCGCATGTGCTTTGGGGTCTCTCCATCTTTCCTGCCTTCTCTGCAGCCATCTCGGCTAGGATCCTGGTTCCCATGGTAACACTGCGGCTGTACCAGGTGGCAGTGGGGGCAGGGAGCTGGCCTACTGCAGCCTGCCGTGTCCCATGCCAGGCCTGCCAGGCAGTGGCTGGACTCAGCCTGGGGACACTTAGGAACTCCCCCAGCTATGCAGACCCCCTTCTTCGGGGATGGGCTAGGAGGTGGGAGTGGGCAGGGGACCGGGAACACAAAGAGGCGGGAGACTGGGAGACTGCGGCCTCAAGGTGGGATGGGCGGTGCACAGGACAGTTAAGGTGAGATCAAGGGCGATTAGACACTGGGGCGGGGGAGGGGACTCTGGCCGGCACGAGGGGCACGGAGGGCTGGGAAAGACGGGACACAGGTGGGGCGTGCCGAACCACATGACATTCCAGCCGGGCCTTTCCACATAACGGAGATCAAGGGGTCTGCAAGGGACCTAGTGGAAGATCCAAGTTCTAGTCCCCAGTTCTTCCCGTCCTGCCCGAGCAAATGCAATTCCCATGACAACTTGCTGTGCAGCCCGAGGAGGGGACTGTATAGGGATTTCCACCTCCTAAGGGTGGGAGAGGGTGCTGCACAGGACGAGGTGGGGTGGTGAGCACCTGGGCCACAGAAGGCCCAGCTCCCAAGCCACCAGCCCAGGAGGGCAGCGGGCTCACACAGAACCACCCGTCCCCCCATCCTGCTCCCTCCCTCTGCCTCCACTGCAGAGGATCAGGGTTAAACTACAAAGTTCACTCACTGCCCAGGCCTGGTGCAGAGACCAGCAAACACTGACGATCTACAACAGGACACCGTGCTAAAGGCCATGGCCACCAGTATAGTCCCTCGAGTCCCTCAGAAAGTGGGGGTGGTGGGTTATGGCCGCCTGGGTGAGTCCAAACTCTCTCTCTCTCTCTCTCTCTCTCTCTCTCTCTCTCTCTCTCTCTCTCTCTCTCTCTCTCTCTCTCTGGGTCTCTGTCCCCTCTCTCTGCCTCCCATCTCTGTCTTTGTCTCTGTGTCTCTGGGGTATTTTTCTCAGGCTGTCTACCTCCCGTAGGGTCTCTCTCTCTCTCTGTCTCTCTCTGTCTCTCTCTCTGTCTGTCTGTCTCTCTCTCTCTGTTTCTGTCTCTCTCTCTCCTGTGTGGTGGTGGTGGTGGTGGTGGTGGCGGCGGTGTGTGTGTGTGTGTGTGTGTATCCCTCTCTCTGTCTCCCTGACTGGGGTGTGGTCTCTGCACCAACTTTCCTTGGATCTCTGGCCCTCCCCTTCTGCAGGACAGTCTCTTGTGTCTCGCCTTCTGGCTCAGGGATCAGAACTGGGCCTAGAACTTGTTTTTGTATGGAACCGTGACCCTGGACGAATGGCAGGGAGTGTGCCCCCTGCCCTGCAGCTCCAAGACCTTACTGCCCTTGAGGACAGGTCAGTGGCCCGCAGCTCAGCGAGAGCCTTCCCTAGCTGCCGCCTGCCTCCCTGTGTCACAGCTCTGATCCTCTCTGGGTCTCAGTGCACATAAAGATAAACCAGAACACACCCAGCCAGGGTAAGGAGTGACACCCCCAAACCCTGAGACCTGACTGTTCTCTGACGGCTCCTCCATGTCTCCCTCTCCCAGGCACCCTGACCTTGTGGTAGAAGTGGCCCATCCAAATATAATCCACGAATCAGGGGCACAAATTCTGCGCCACGCTAACCTCCTGGTGAGCCCCCTCATCCCTCAGCAAGTCCTTCTCTGTGGTGGCTGCATCCCACCCCACAGCAGGGAGCTATGTCTTGGCCTTCCCTCTCTCCACCGTACTTCCCAAGGTGGGGTCTCCATCAGCTCTGGCTGACCAGACCACAGAGCAGCAGCTCATGGAGGCCTCAAACTGCTGGGGCCACACTGTGTTTGTGGCCAGAGGAGCCCTGTGGGGGACTGAGGACATCAGGAGACTGGATTTAGCAGGAGGCCTCCAGGTGAGAATCAAATGGGCTGCGACGCAGGTGACCCGTAAATCTCAGCTTCCTGACCTTGCCATTGCTTTCAGAGCCTTCGAGTCACCATGGCCACACATCCCGATGGCTTCCGGCTGGAGGGATCCCTGGCTGCAGCGCACATCAGTGGGCCCCGCACAGTGCTCTACGAGGGCCCCGTGCGTGGGCTCTGCCCCTTGGCCCCCCGGAATTCTAACACCATGGCAGCCGCTGCCCTGGCTGCCCCCAGTCTAGGCTTCGACCGTGTCGTTGGGGTGCTTGTGGCTGACCTTAGGTGAGCAGCGGAGGTAGGTGGCCTAGCTGGGTGCACGCCAGGTGGACTAACTGGCCTTCTCCGCTGGCTGCAGCCTCAGAGACATGCACGTGGTGGACGTGGAGCTGAAAGGCCCCCCAGGACCCACAGGCCACAGCTTCGCGGTGCACACCCACAGAGAGAACCCAGCCCAGCCTGGCGCTGTCACCGGCTCTGCCACTGTCACAGCCTTCTGGCTCAGCCTGCTGGGTGCGGCCAGACCCCTCCATCAGTCCCTTGACCTTTGTGCCCTGCGGAACTCAATGTCGGGTGTCCCACCCCGGTTTTCTGTCCGCCCGTCCTTAGTTTTCACTCCCAGGCTTTATGAGCCCGTTTCCCCGCCCCTTTCTCTGAGTCTCCGTCCCTCTTGTCTCTCCACATCTCTTTCTGAGTATCCTCTTTGGGTTGTACTACACTACCATTTCCAAAGCCCTGGGTCGTCGTGGCTGCTTGCAGGTCTGGGTTGCATCCTAGTCTTTCCTTCTTCCCGCAGGCTGCTGCCAGCTCCCCTCCAAACCTGGGATTCATCTCTGCTGACAAGTCTCCCCCACTGCCCTTGCTGTCACCTCGACCTCTATGTGTCTCAGTAAACATCAGAGTTCTGTCGGCTGTTCTCTTTGGCCTCTTTAGTTCCTTATCCCCTAACTCTATTACGTCACGCTTCAACACACCGTGTGTGACGCCATAGCAGCGAGCGCATGAGCATACACACAAACCAATTTCCTGGAAGCTATCGCGAGAGTTCAAGCTACTACATTTCCCAGAAACCTCTAGGTAGTAGTGAGCCCTGGGGGTGCTTGAAAACTGGCTGTGTGGTCCGACGGGAGTTGTAGTTCCGTGCTGCAGAGCGTCCCCGGCGAACTTCCGAACTGCGAGGCCTATTTAGGCGTCCCGTAGGCCTTCGGGAATCGCAGTCCGGGGCGCTCAGGCTGTCGGGAGCTGTAGTCCGTCCCGCCTGCCCAGTCAGCGTGGTACCACCCGGCCGCTGCCCAGGGAATGAGAAAGCGGCCGGTCCCAGCGAGCAGAGAGGCCGACGGGGTGAGGGCCAGGCGAGCGGCCGTGCGGAGGCGGGTGGGAGCGTGCCTGGTTGCCAGGTGACAGGAAGAGCAGGGGCTCCTGTTGCTTAGAGACTGGGAGAGGGCCTTGTTGCCAGGAGACGGGAGGAGAGAGCCCTGGTTATTGACGAGGGGTAGTCTTTCGTTGCTAGGCGACCAGAAGAGACCCTGTTACCCGGAGACCGGGAAGGAGGAGTCCTCCATTGCTAGGTGATCAGAAATCGGACCGGGTTACCATGGGGGTGGGGTGTACCCTGTTGCTTGGGAACCAAAAAGGTATTGTTTCCTAGGGACAGAAGGGACGATACTTCGTTGCTAGGTTACAGTGATCCGGACCTTTTTGCTTAGAGACATGTAATGGGGGTGGGTCTCTATTGCCAAGTGGGCAGAAAAGAGCCTTTTCCCCCTGGGACTAGTGCTTGAAGATGCCTCTATGCTCCGGAGACAGCCTAGGTCGCAGGGTCGTATCCTCCCAAGCTGGCCCCAGTGCCTATCTCAGTGGCTGTTGCCCAGGGACACCGGAGTCTGGAGACCCAGATGACCGTGACCCTGGGTTCCTAACCCTGTCTGCTTGTACCACCCCCAGCAGGAGCCGAGGAGGGCATGTCTCAGGCCCCGGAAGCGCGGCCGAGCCCACCGTCAGTGTACCACGAGCGGCAGCGGCTAGAGCTGTGCGCCGTCCACGCTCTCAACAACGTCCTCCAACAGCAGCTCTTTAGCCAGGAGGCTGCAGACGAAATTTGCAAGAGGTGACTGCCGGCCAGGTCCTGGCCCTGGAAGAGCAGGGCTGAGAAGCATGGGAGCCTGCCTGGGCACTAACAGGGCCGGGCTCAGATCCTGCAACTGTTACCTGCTGCCTCCCACAGCCTCGGCTCCAGCTTTGGCCTCAAGCTCTCCTACCTGAGCCGTTGGCACAGCCTCCCAGCTGCCTGGTTTTCTCCTCCTGCCCGTCCTGCCTGCCCCTCTTGTGCATTTATCCCTCTGGGGGCCCCTAGCACTCCTAGAGTCCGTCATCCTGAGCTCCAGGGCTTTTGGTGCTCTGGTCCTTACCTGCCTGTCTGCAGCTCCATCCTTCACTGCTCTCCTTGGCCCCAAATGACCCCACTGTGGCGTCTCTGAGCTCTTACACAGGCTGTTCCGTGTTACAAAAGACATTCCTTCTCTTCTTGGTCACCTAGGTGCCTCTCAGAATTTCAGCCATTACTTTCTTACGAAACTCTCTCTGTTCCCACCTGTAGGCCCCCAGTCCTCCCACAGACATCCCAGGCTGCAGTCAGGTCCACATCCAGAGGCAGCCCTTATGTCTTCTCACTGCTGCTCACCCAGCATCCTCATCCTGTAGCTCTACGTTGGGAGATAGCCATCCCTGCACCAGCTTTCACACGGGGGCATCGGAACAGCAGGAGCAATAAGAAAGCTGGGGACACAGAGCAGACAGAAGGGGTTCCCTCCATGTCACTGCTCCCCAGGGGTCCAGCTCTTCAGAGGAGCGGGCTCACCTCTGGAGAGAGCTAGAGGGAAGGCTGGGGCACCAGGGACAGCTGGAGACAGGAGGCTGGTAAGAGCTGAGCTGTGCAGGGAGCACTTGCCGCTGGAGGAGGCGTCTGTCCTGGGGGTCTGGGGCACCAGGGAGGGCTGTGAACAGAGTAGGGCAGGGTGTGACCAAACGAAAGAGGCATTCTGTATTCAGATACGGGGACATGAGTGGCATTGTCACTCGGGAGCTGAGTGCCCAGCTGGGGGTTTGATGGCTCCTCTTCTAAAAGACATGACACGGAGACCAGTCTGGAAAGAGGCCGTGGTGAGAAGGGATAGGTGGAAGGGCAGAGGCTTTGTCCAGAACTCGTGGGAGTCGTGGGAGAGGGGGGAGTAGGAGCATGGCAGCTGGAGGCTGCCGGAGGGACAGACCAGAGACCAGGAAGGGTCGAGTGGAAAGAGACAAAGCTGCAGCCAGGCCAAGAGAACGGGTGTGGGGATGGGAGGAGAACGGGGCTTGGGGCCTGATTAGCTGTGTGGGGCTTAAAGGAAAGTCAGAAGCCAGGCTCTGGGCCGTACCTGCTGTGTGAGAAGGTGAAGGCCTTTCCAGGGTCCCCAACCTTGGCTCTGCCCCCTTCACCCCCAGGCTAGCCCCCGACTCCCGGCTGAACCCCCATCGCAGCCTCCTGGGCACCGGCAACTACGATGTCAACGTGATCATGGCTGCCCTGCAGGGCCTGGGCCTGGCCGCTGTGTGGTGGGACAGGAGGAGGTAGGGCCGCGGCCGTGGCTGCCCTGACCCCGGGTGTGGGCTGCACACAGGGCGGTTTGAGGCTCTGGCTGATAGAGACTGACTGACTGGTGGGCTAAACTGATAAACTTGGTGCCAGTCAAAGGGGTGGTGTAGGGTCCAAGTGAGTGACTTGTGGCTGAGGTGGGGAAAGATGGAAACGGGGTTAGGAGTGAGAGCAGCCCGTTGGCCCAAGGCACAGCTGAACTGGGAACTGGCCTGGGCTGCGTATGGAGACCCTGACTCAAAAGGGCCAACAACAAAAGTTGAGGGGCTGGGGCTCCACTGGCAGCATGCTTACCCAGCATGCATGAGGCTGGGGTCCCATCCCAGCACCCCATGAACTGGTGTACCTGGCACACCCTGCCTAAACAAAACCAAGGCTGAACTCGGCAGGGAGAGGGTGGCGGGTCAGTGGGTGGCGCGTGGCCTTTCTGAGGAGCGGAGCAGTATCCAAGGGCCTCTAGAGCCTCATGCTGCGTCCCTCCCCTCCCCAGACCGCTGTCCCAGCTGGCCCTGCCCCAGGTGCTAGGCCTGATCCTGAACCTACCCTCTCCTGTGTCCCTGGGGCTGCTGTCCCTGCCACTGCGCCGCCGGCACTGGGTGGCCCTGCGCCAAGTGGATGGCATCTACTATAACCTGGACTCAAAGCTTCGGGCACCTGAAGCCCTGGGGGATGAGGATGGTGTCAGGTGAGTGGTGAAGGGACAGGTGAGACCAACGGAACTATCCCGCCCGGGCTGCCCGGGTCTCATCTCCCCACGTCTCCCTTCAGAGCCTTCTTGGCAGCTGCCCTGGCCCAAGGCCTGTGCGAGGTGCTATTGGTGGTGACCAAGGAGGTGGAGGAGGCCGGCTGCTGGCTGTACACAAGCTGACGCGCTGCCTGTGAACCCTTGCCGCCTCAGGCCCGAGCGCCTGGGAGGAGCCTGCAACTCCACGCCCCAGGAGCCTGCTCCTACCCTAGAGTCCCGCTCCCCACCAACCATTGCTGCCTCAATAAATCTGCTCTTTTGCTATCTTGTCTGAGCTCCTGAGGACTGCTCTCGGTCACAAGCCAGTGCCCAGAGGGAGACAGAAGCCAGAAACCAACATGTCGTCATCCCCAAAATGAGTAGGGTAACATATGATGAATCAGGGACCACTGGTGAGGAAGCAGGCCAGACAGTAGGCCCCAAGGATGGCCGTGGGTCCGGCAGCCTATGACCACGGACCAAGACTTCGCAGGTGCAGGGGGAGCTGGGCCGCAGATAGGACTGGTTGTAACCAGCCTCCCTCGGGAGCAGCAGGACTTGGCGGGTGAGTGGGTGAAGGCACAGGGCCCTTAAAAGTGGGAGGCCAGCCCACTGGAGCCCATTAAGAGTTTCTGATCCCCACGGAGAGAGCCAGCATGAGGGGTCTGAAGCTGTAACGGGCTTGGTGCTCCTCATAGCAACCTCAGGAAATCGGCACAGCTGCTGCCGTTTTCTCAGGCTGTGCTGGGCCACCAGAGAAGGGTCAGTTGGGCTCAGCCCTGAAGTAGGTGAGGGACGGACAGCTGTTGGAGGAATATTTTCCCAGGGCACCAGACTGGAGCAGACACCCAAGCCAGACATTCTCAAGAGGCTGGGAAACTTGAGGGGCCCCAGAATTGGAAATTGCTGATGTCCCCAGAGTGCTACAGCCCTGCTGTCATCACCACAGTTATTTGGGGAGGTGTTGACAGACAGGCCTATCTGGGACAGTGGAAGAGACTGGAGCCAGGAGGAGGGCCCAGATAGGCACACCCTGAGGAGTCGCAAGAGGAGAAACAGACAGCCAGGGTCTGTGACCTGGTGATGGATTCATCTGGGGATGAAGGCCACATCCTGCACCATGTTATCTGGTCCCCAGGATTCCGAGGTCAAAGGGCAAGTTGTAAAGTAAAAACCCAGGGCAGCATGTGGAGGACACATACTGAGTTGCCAGCCCTGGAGCCCAGGACCCTCCCTGCCCCCTGGCCTCCCAGCCCCTCTCTGGGTGTCCTCTCTCTGTCCTCAATATGTGTCTGGATTAACCCTTCCACCACCCCCCAGTGTGTGTGTGAGTGTGTGTGTGTGAGAGTGTCTGTGTGCGTAAGTGTGTGTGTGTGCATGTGAGTGAGTGTACGTGTGAGTGTGTGTGTGAGTGTGTGCGCATGTGTGAGAGTGTGTGTATGTGAATGAGTGTGTCTGTGTGTGTGTGCGCGTGCGTGTGTGTGTGTGAGTGAGAGTGTGAGTGTGTGTGTGTGCACCCTTACCCCCTTTTTAAAACAGTCTCGCTGTATGGCCCAGACTGGTCTCAAACTCGCTCTGCCCCTCCTGCTCAGCCACCCACGTGCGGGAATTACAGGTGTATGCCACCACACCCACTTCCCCACCTCTCCCTGGCCCTGAAGTCCCGCAGGGTCTCTGGGCCTCTTACCTTCTCTGCGATTCTGCTGCCCTCTTTCCCGTCCAGCCTCCTCCTAGCCCCCTCCCCCCACCCCCTCCACCTGTCGCCTGTCCAGTTCCGAGTAGGGGACAGCTGCCCGGACTCGCTGTTTCTATTCTTGGCCTGAGTGGTGCAGCCTGTGACATCCCAGGTGCACCCTCAGCTGTGACCAAATAAGGTTCTAAACGGGGAGCTGTGGAGGGAAGGGCGCAGGCCTGCACACTGATTCAGCGCCTCGTGTTTGCCCTTAGTGCTGACCTGGTGTCCCCACTGACACCCCTCTTCTGAGGAGAGCACCCTTGACCCTAGCATGCCTCACCAGGCCTGTCCTGAGGCTGCTGGGCTCCTGGGGTTCCCTGATGAGGGTGTGGGGCTCCAAGCTGACCTCCAGGGCCGCGGCACCCCGGGAGAGTGGAGGGTTGGCGGCCGCCTGTACAGCTGTTGCTGGCTGTGCTGACAGCTGAGGCTCAATTTAGCTGCAAGGCCAGGATCTGGCCAGATAAGGTGTGGATAGGGCCAGGACCGCCCCTATGGTGCCCCTTAAATTGCAGGGCTTGGGCTGGGGCCGGGGGCGCAGACACCGAGGCCAGGTGAGAGGGTCCTGCTGCCGTGGTGGCCCGCAAGGCGCCCGGTGTCTCTCCACCTGTCTGCTTGCCTCCCACAGCCTCCACCCTCTCCTGTGCCTCTCTCGGCCTGCGACCTCATCTCCGCCCCCACCTCCCACACACATGCTCCATCCCTCTGTCTCCGTCTCTGTTCTCCCTCTGCCTCCATCTCTGTGTCTGATTTTCCCTGCCCCCTTCTCGCTGCCTCTGTGTCCCTCCATCTCTGTCTCTCAGCCCAATACTTTCTGTCTCTGATGTTCTATGTGTCTATCTCTTGGCCTGATTTTCCTTATCTCTATATTTCTTTCCATATCGTCTTTGTCTGGCTCTCTCCATCTCTCTGCCTCTCTCTGATTCTCTGTCTCTCTCTCTGTCTCTGTCTGTGCGTCTCTGTCTCTGTCTGTCTGTGTGTCTCTGTCTCTGTGTCTCTCTGTGTCTCTGTCTCTGTCTGTCTCTGTGTCTCTGTCTGTGTCTGTCTCGATGTCTGTCTCTCTCTCTCTCTCTCTCTCTCTCTCTCTCTCTCTCTCTCTCTCTCTCTCTCTCTCTCTCTCTCTGCCTGGTTGTTCCAACCCTTTCCTTCCCATCTCCTATTTTCGGGTCTCTTTTCCTCCCTCTCCGACTCTCTCTCCCTCGGCTGGGGCCGAAGCCCTGTGTTCTTTCCTGAATAAAGCTGGTTCTGTCCTGGCTCCCCCTTCTCTGCCTCCGTCTTTCCTTCCCCCTCTGCCCCCACCCATGCCCAGCCCAGATCCTGGGTGAGGCGCTCAGTATTGGCAGCAGGGTCACTCCCCACACAACAGGAAAGAGGGGTGGAGAGCAGGAGACCAGAGCGACAGGGAGGAAGGTCAGCCCGGAGGAGGGACAGTGGGTCATGGGATTCAGAGGCCAGGCAGCACCCCACACCAGGCAGACTGGGCTCCCCTCCCCCTCGGACCAGGCTGTGCCAGTCCCAGGACAATGCACCCTTGTCTCCTGCCCTGACAGCTGGGGGCTCCTGCCTCCCGCTACTGCAGAGGAGCTGGTGGCTTTCTGCTCCACCCTAGGTAGGGGAGTGACCCTGAGGGCCAGGCCTGGGGCATCTGCTACCTCCTGAGCCCCAGGGCCCTTCTGGTCACCCTGGTGTTTGTCCACCCTTTCTACCCTCCGCCCCCTCTAGCTCCGCTGTCCCTCTACTGAGTCCTCCCTCCCCATCCAGTCTGCCTGGCTCCTCCCCTGTGAGCACCTGCTGTGCATGAGGTCCCAGACTCCCACCCATTGTCTCTTACTGGTCTCCTCCCTCTCTGCCATCCTGGGAGAAGGGGTGAATGCGCTCCACTCACCCTCTTATCTCTTTCCACCCTCCCCTCCCCTCCCCTCTCACTGCTTACTCTCTCCCAAGACAAAGAATGCATTTATTGAGTGCTGCTAGTATGCATTCTCTCTGGTCCTCCATTCTCCACTGACAATGGCCTCTGCCAGCCTCTGCTTCCTGCTTCTCTCTGCCTGGGCATGAGGGCACTTATTGGGCACCAGCAGTATGCTAAGCTTTTTATAAACACTTTCTTCCTACTGCACCCCACACACACTCACCCCAGGAAAGGGAAGGGGCACTAATTGAGCACTGACTGTGTGCCAAATAATCCACACCTATGCTCTTTCGGCCCTGTCTCCTCTGCAGAGAAGCTGCAGCCCTTCCAGGAAGACGGGTGGGGTGCCCTTTGGGTGTACAGCTAGGGTTAAGATGGGCCAGCATGCTCTGGGTGTTAAGGCGGGAACAAATGAGGAAACTAACCCTGACGGGGGAGGGTGTGCCCCCAGCTGGCCTGGGCCCCCATTATGCTCTCTGCCCCACCTAATGGGAGTCTCACTCTGTCTCTCGCTGTCACGCGCCTTCTTCCTTTGACCTTGTCCCATCTCTACCCACATGATATGGCGGACAAAGCTCCTCACAGGCAATGCAGTACCTAATACTTGGGTCATCACCCAATGCAGGCACTGCCGCTCTCCCGGGCAGCCATCTGTTCCTCCTCTCCTCCTCGTCCTCCACTCCCTCCTCCTCTCCCTTCCTCCTCTCCTCTTCCAACTTCCTCTCCTCCTCCCCTTCTCTGGCTCTCCCTTTTCTTCCTCTCCATTTCCTTCCCCTCCTGTACCTCAATCTCCTTCCCTTCCCCTTCCTCTTCCATCTCCTCTGCTGCTGCTTTTTTCCGTTTCCTCCTTCTTTTCCTCTAATTCTTTCCCCCCTTCCCCTCGTCCTCTTCCTCCTCCTCTCCTGCCCCCTCTCTTTCTCCACATTCTTCTGCTTCTCCTTCTCCTCCTACATCTTTCTTCCTGCATCTCCTCATCTTGTCCTTGTCTTCCTCCATCTCCTCATTTATCCCCTTTTCTCCTTCCTTCCTGTTTCCTCCTGATGCTCCTCCTACTCCCTCTTTTCCTCCCTCCTCCTTTAACTCTTCCTCTGCTTCTAGCTCCTAACCCTTCACCTACTTTTCCTTCCGTTCCTCTTCCTCTTCTGACGCTCTTCATCCCTTTTTCCTCTCCGCCGCCTTCTCCTCCATCGCCGCCCTCCCTTCTCTCTCCTCCTCTCCTTCCTCCCCTTTGTCTCCTCCCCTCCCCCTCCTTCTCCACACCCTTCACTCCCTCTCCTCCCACCAGTCTCCATCTCTTCTTCCTTCTCTGACTGTTCCTCTTCCTCCACCTCTTCCTCCTTCTCTGACTGTTCCTCTTCCTCCATCTCATCTTCCTTCTCTGACTGTTCCTCTTCCTCCATCTCATCTTCCTTCTCTGACTGTTCCTCTTTCTCCGTCTCTTCTTCCTTCCTCCTTCTCTGATCATTCCTCTTCCTCCATCTCTTCCTCCTTCTCTGACTGTTCCTCTTCCTCCATCTCTTCCTCCTTCTCTGACTGTTCCTCTTCCTCCATCTCTTCTCTTCCTTCTCTGACTGTTCCTCTTCCTCCATCTCCCTTCTCTGACTGTTTTTCTTCCTCTAGCTCTTCCTCCTTCTCTGACTGTTCCTCTTTCTCCGTCTCTTCTTCCTTCCTCCTTCTCTGATCATTCCTCTTCCTCCATCTCTTCCTCCTTCTCTGACTGTTCCTCTTCCTCCATCTCTTCCTCCTTCTCTGACTGTTCCTCTTCCTCCATCTCTTCTCTTCCTTCTCTGACTGTTCCTCTTCCTCCATCTCCCTTCTCTGACTGTTTTTCTTCCTCTAGCTCTTCCTCCTTCTCTGACTGTTCCTCTTTCTCCGTCTCTTCTTCCTTCCTCCTTCTCTAATCGTTCCTCTTCCTCCATCTCTTCTTCCTTCTTCCTTCTCTGACTGTTCCTCTTCTTCCACCTCTTCTTCCTTCTCTGATCGTTCCTCTTCCTCCATCTCTTCCTCCTTCTCTGACTGTTCCTCTTTCTCCATCTCTTCTCTTCCTTCTCTGACTGTTCCTCTTCCTCCATCTCTTCCTCCTTCTCTGACTGTTCCTCTTCCTCCATCTCTTCTTCCTTCTTCCTTCTCTGACTGTTCCTCTTCCTCCATCTCTTCCTCCTTCTCTGACTGTTCCTCTTTCTCCATCTCTTCCTCCTTCTCTAATCGTTCCTCTTCCTCCATCTCTTCTCCCTTCTCTGACTGTTCCTCCTCCTCCATCTCTTCTTTCTTCCTCCTTCTCTAATCGTTCCTCTTCCTCCACCTCTTCTTCCTTCTCTAACTGTTCCTCCTCCTCCATCTCTTCTTCCTTCCTCCTTCTCTAATCGTTCCTCTTCCTCCACCTCTTCTTCCTTCTCTGACTGTTCCTCTTCCTCCACCTCTTCTTCCTTCTCTGACCGTTCCTCTTCCTCCATCTCTTCTTCCTTCCTCCTTCTCTAATTGTTCCTCTTCCTCCATCTTTTCTCCCTTCTCTGACTGTTTTTCTTCCTCTATCTCTTCTTCCTTCTCTGATTGTTCCTCTTCTTCCACCTCTTCTTCCTTCTTCCTTCTCTGACTGTTCCTCTTCCCCATCTCTTCTCTTCCTTCTCTGACTGTTCCTCTTCCTCCATCTCTTCTTCCTTCTCTGACGGTTCCTCTTCCTCTATATCTTCTCTTCCTTCTCTGACTGTTCCTCTTCCTTCACCTCTTCTCTTCCTTCTCCATTTCTTTCCTTCTGTCTTTCTTAATTTCCTTCTCCATCTCCTCCTCTCTTCCTCCTACATTGCCTCTTCCTCTGGCTTCCTGCTCCATCTTCTTTTTCCAGCTTCTCTACATCTTCTCCTTCTCTCCCGTTTCCTTCTCCTCCTCCATTCCCTTCGCCTATCCCTTCACCATGTCTCTTCTTCCCGTCTCCAACCCCCTCTTCTCCACCTCTTCCTCTTTCCTCTGGTTCCTTCTCTCCTATAGCCTCTTTTGTCTCCTCCTGCTCCTTCATCTCCATCTTGTTTGCCTTGCTCACCCCTCCCATTTCCTTCCTCTTACTCACCTTTCTCCTCTCTCTCTCCTTCT